CCTCCACCTCGGCCCCCCAAGGCTCCCGAGAGGCGTGCCGCGAGATCCCGATACACATACAAGAAGCCGCTCACCCGTAACACATAACCCAGAGCCTCCTCTTTGTGTCCCTCTCCCCCTCCTTCTCCTCCCCCTCCTCCTCCTCCACAGCCTCCTCGCCCTCGCCCCCTCCTCCTCTTCCACCCCCGCTTCATTCTCATCCTCTTCGATTCTTCCCCCCCCCATCCTCCGCCTTACCCCCCAGCCTCCGCCTTCTACTACTCTTACTGCCACTACGACTACGACGACGACTACGACGACTACTACTACGACTACTACTACTACTACTACTACTACTACTACTACTACTACTACTACTACTGCTGCTGCTGCTGCTGCTGCTGCTGCTACCATTACTACTCTACTACTGCTACTACTACTACTACCACTACTACTACTACTACTACCACCACCACCGCCACCACCACCACCACCACCACCACACCACCACCACCACCACCACCACCACTACTACTACTACTACTACTACTACTACTACTACTACTACTACTACTACTACTACTACGATTACTACTACTACTACTACTACTACTACTACTACTACTACTACTACTACTACTACTACTACTACTACTACTACTACTACTACTACTACTACTACTACTACTACTACTACTACTACTACTACTACTACTACTACTACTACTACTACTACTACTACTACTACTACTACTACTACTACTACTACTACTACTACTACTACTACTACTACTACTACTACTACCGCACCATGTGCGTGGCGTGGCACTTTCGGCCGCGACCACGCTGAATATCTCGGCCGCGCGCAGTACGAACTGATCGCGCACGCAGTACTCTGCGTCGCGGGAGGGGGGCGAGGGGGGGGCGTGCTCGGAGCAGGAGCGGAAATGTGCATCGTCCAACACACCAACTAATCGCACGCGCGGTTTCGCAGACTCTTCTTGGCAGAGCAACAGCAGAACCTTACGCAAAACTTTGACAACTCCGCCACCGAGTAAGCATCTCGTGGCTGGCGCGGAGAAACTCGGAACGAGAAACTGTGTCCGCGTGACGTGAACAGACGGCGAAACCTGTCTGCCCAAGGCAACCCAGCAACCCCAAGATCAGGCTCCTCCAGCAGCCCCTCCTCCTCCTAGACCCTTCACCCATCCTTCCACAAGGCACCCCCGCCGGCCGCACAATGTGCATGGCGTGGCACTTTCGGCCGCGACCGCACTACTCATCTCGGCCGCGCGCAGTACGAACTGAACGCGCCAGGACTCTGTGTCGCCGGGGCGGCTGGTGTGGGTGTGCTCCGAACAAGAGCGGCAACGTGCATCCTCGCCCCGGAACCAACAAATCGCACGCGCGCGCTGCGCGTCACTGACATCCAAGCAGGTGTCGCCAGGCGGACTCACACTGGGATGTTGACCGAAGTCTGCGCCCCACGCTGCTTGGCCATGGTGGAGTCAGACAGGTTCTTATCCAAACGTCCCTAGATTTGAGCAGATACCGATCACCACGCCATTCCTATAGGCCTACCACGACATGTGTCTGGAACCTGCAGAGTGTTCTGACTTAGTGGAGTTCCTGTGGAACTCACGTCATCCTGACTCCCTGCGCGCGAGACAGTGGCCCCGCCGATCGCCCCCCCTGTTCCGTTTCAGGGGACGTCCGGGAAATCCGGCGAATCCGGCGACAAATTCCAAGCCGGGACATCCTCAGAAAAGCCGCCCCTGGAGCAGGCCCCCCTGTAGGTTCCGTTTTCGGCGACGTCTAGGAAATCCGGCGAATCTGGGAAAACCGGCGACGAATTCCAAACCGGCGCCGTCGCGTGGGACATCCTCAGAAAAACCGCGCCCGTAGCCTCCCCAAGCAGGCCCTAGCTCAGACGCCCCCCTGTTCCGTTTCATGCGACGTCGGGGAAATCGGGCGAATCTGGGGAATCCGGCGACGAACTCCAAAGCGGCGCCCTCGCGTGGGACATCCTCAGAAAAAATCGCCCCCAGAGCCTCCCCAATGAGGCCCTTCAGGCGACGTCCGGGAAATCCGGCAAATCCAACGAATCCAGGGAACCTGGCGACAAATTCCCAACCGGCGGCCTCGCGTAGGACATCCTCGGGAAAACGCCCCCAGAACCTCCCCAAGGAAGCCCTCTCAGAGGCCCCCCTGTTCCGTTTCAGGCGACGTCCGGGAAATCTGGCGACGAAGTCCAAAGTGGCGACCTCGTGTGGGACATCCTTAGAAAAACCGCAGCCGGAGCCTTCCCAAGGAGGCCTTCAGAAGCCCCCCTGTTCCGTTTCAGGCGACGTCCGGGAAATCCAGCAAATCCGGGGAATCCGAGGAATCCGGCGACGCATTCCAAACGGGCAACCTTGCGTGGGACAGCCTCAGAAAAACCGCAGGCCCCGCTCCATTTCAGGTGGCGCCCGGCCCTTCCAAAAGGAGTCCATCTGGCGCGCCGCATGGACTCCATCGAGCGCGCGGCGTTGAAGGTCCCCGCAAACCGACCCCCAAAAATGTCCTGGCGAGGGACTCAACCATATGCAACTTTGGGTACCGCAGTTGTGAGCCCCGCCGTCGGTGGAGCTCCCTGTGGGGCCACGAAACATGTGAGGGGTGTGCAGAAATGGGTGTTATGGCGCCATGAGAACCCCGCCAGTGGGGCCTTCGATGGAGCTCCCTGTGGGGCCACGAAACATGTGTGAAGGGTGTGCCGACATGGGGCGGGGCCGCCATGCGAACTTTGCCACTGGGGCCTTAGGTGGAGCTCCCCATGGGGCCAGTGTGAGAGGTGTGCCGAAATGGGCGTGGGGCCGCCATGCGAACATTGCCATTGGGGCCTTCGGTGGAGCTCCCTACGGGGCCACGAAACGTGTGAGGGGTGCGCCGACATGGGGCGGGGCCGCCATGCGAACTTTGCCACTGGGGCATTCGGTGGGGCTCCCCATGGGGCCACGAAACGTGTGAGGGGTGCGCCGAAATGAGGCGGGTCCGCCATGCGAACATTGCCACTGGGGCCTTCGGTGGAGCTCCCTATGGGGCGACGAAACGTGTGAGGGGTGCGCCGAAATGAGGCGGGTCCGCCATGCGAAAATTGCCACTGGGGCCTTCGGTGGAGCTCCCTATGGGGCGACGAAACGTGTCAGGGGCGCGCCGAAATGGGACGGGGCCGCCGTGCGAACTTTGCCACTGGGGCCTTCGGTGGAGCCCCCTATGGGGCCACGAAACGTACGAACTTTGCCACTGGGGCCCGGGCCAGACTCGCGCAGATGGTCCTCGGAGTACCCGACAGGATCCAGGACGTGAAATCCCTCGGCCCTGAGCGCTGCCGACCAATCCCTGTATTCCGCATGAACCTCCTGCGTCGGGGGGGGGTCCTGGGAGAGGTGTCTTGTCTCCACAAGGGCAGCCCGTGAGAGGGTCAGTCTCGGGAGGTTGTCTCGGGAGAGGTGTCTTGCCTCCACAAAGGCAGCCTGTGAGGAGTCCAGTCTCGGGCGGGCGTCTCGGGAGGGCGCCGCCCGCATGTGGCCACGCCATTTATTTCGGCGCATCCTTCACACGTTTCGTGGCCTCACAGGGAGGTCCACTGAATCTGATGCTCACAACTGCGATTCTCACAACTGCACATGATTGGGTATGTCGGCATGCTAGTGTATGGTTTTTGGCCTATGTGAACGATATGGCTGCGGTGCTTATCAAGTTAATAGACTAAGTTAGGACTTCATCGTGTCACAACATGCATTGACATAGGTAAATATGTGAAGCGTTAGCTAAACCATGCTGACGTTTACTCAGTTCGGTGTTGGTAACTCTCAATACATCTCGTAGGTTTTCGCAAAACCCTTAGCTAAACCTTGCAATCCTTGGCAAGCGCGAAAGTCATCTCACTGGGGGCCTCGGGGACTGCCGTCTTGGGGGTCTCTGGGGCTGTTTTGGAGGCGTCTGTGGCCATCTTGGGGGTTCTTGGGATGGGCCTCTCGGGCCGCCTTGTAGGCGTCCGGGGCCCTCTTTGGAACTCTTGGGGTGTCTTGGGGCCCTCTTGGAGCCGTCTGGATGCCTCTCGGGACGCCTTGGGGCGTCGAGAAGCCGAAAAGGCGAGAAAGCCAAACTCTCTCGAAACATTGACAAAACAATAGACGTTGCGTCTCTTGGGGCCTTCGGGAGGCCTTTTGGTGGCCCCTTGTGGGCTCTGGGGCCTCCTTGGGGCTTCTTGGGCCGTCTGCAGACTGTATTGGGCCATATCGGGCCATCTTTTTTTGTTTTTTTTTGTTTTGTTTTTTTTGGGGGGGGTCAAAGCGAAAAGGCTGTCGAGGAACTCCCTCTACTGAGATGCACAGGCTGCACATATGCATGGCAGCTGCGCAATGTCAAGCCAAACGCGACCACACGTGTACACACGCGGCGGCCAAGAGTCGCATCGGCATGGCGGCTGCAAGGATTGGGACAGATTTGGACGCTGAAAATGGCAAGAAAGAGAGCTGTACACCCGCGAATGAAAAACGCCAGAGTCGGCCAGACATCTGCGCAGAGACTTAGGCCCTGAGCGAATACATTGGGCCATATCGGGCCATCTTGGAGGCTTCATCGGCTGCCTCCGGGAGATAGTGGGCGCATGTGGGGCCGTTTTGGAGCGTCGGGAAGCCGAAAAGACGTGAATGCCAGAATGCATCAAAATCCCAAGGAACAACAATACTTTGTGAATCTTGGGGTCCTCTCGGGGGTGTTCTTAAAGGCTTCTTGGAGCGTCTTCGAGGCTTCTTGGGCCGTCTGGGCGCTATCGTGAGCGTCCTGGTGCGATTTTTGGGCGAGAATTCTCGGGGCCCTCTTGAAGCGTCTGGGGACCCTCTTGGCGCTTTCTGGTGGCGTCTTGTCGGCCTCAGGGGGGCCCCAAGCGCCCCGGCACCTGCACTTGCGGTCGGGGCTGCGGCCCCAGGTCCCCCCAGAACGGATGCGTGCACCCCACACGTGAAAATTTCAGCCTAACGACAGACTGGCAGATGCATATACGTGGCCACAGAACTGGGCCTCACTCCGCGGCTGTTGCTGGAACTCCCAGGCATGCTGGTCACATGGCTGTTGCTGGAACCGCTGGTGTTCGCCTCTAGGGGACCAAATAGCGGCATAAGCGTCACCTGTCGGAGCTCCGTGCGGATTTCGTGGATCAGCGCTGAACCCCCTGACGGCGCCTCCGGCGCCGCGCGCTCCACGCGCCAGGGAGGGCGGTTTCAACGCAGATCCAAGGAATCTGCGCGGACCTCTGACAATTTTTGTCTATGCCGTTTTTCCTTCTCCGAGCCTCGCTCGCGCCGCTGCTTGCACTGCCCCCGTGCGTATTGGTCGCAGGCATGATGCTCTCGGCCGTGATGCTGCCTGCCGCGCCAGTCCTGCGCGGCAGCCCGGCGGCTCGCGCCGCTGCCTGCTGCAACGCACCCTGCCCGGGCAGCCGCCGCAGCGGGGGCGCCGGCGCCGCCACCGCCGGCGCCGACCCGGCACGACGCGCGCGCGTGCCCGGGTCGACGACGAGCGTGGAAGAAGAGAAAAGCCTGGAGCATCATTCGGCGACTCCGAAGGGCGTGCTTTGCAAAAGGTGTGGGTTGCGACTGGCACCCTGGGGGGCACCCAGGGGGGGCTGGCGAGGACCTCGACAGAGTCTTCCGCCGCCCCGAGGAGGCCCGACGAGGACAGCGTCGTGCTCCCCAGGCCCCAACGGTGCCGATCGCAAACCACACCCCGGCGTAACCGTACCCTTTGTAGTCACCGAGTGATCTCTGGAAAGTCCGAACGCATATCTCTCTTAGATCGGCACGGGGTCCCCCTCGGCGCGCCAGGGGCGCGCCGGCGGCGCCGCCAGGGGTGGGCCCAGCGCCGATCCAAGAGAGATCCGCGCGGACCTCCGAGAGCTCATCTCTTTGCTGGCGCTTCTGCCCCGGGAGCCACGCGTCCGAAGCCAGCTGCGTGTCCCTGGGGTCCAGGGCGAAGCGGCCGAAATTCTGGCGTTGCGGGGGGATGAAAACGTGGCGTGGAAGCGACACGTTGCCACGAGCGGAAGTGCGGGAGCCCATTGCAAAAACCGCGTCACTGCTTGCGTCCACAGGGGTGAATAACTTCGCGCGCGCGGAATCTGGCGCGTGCGGAAGCTTGCGCGTGCGGTCCTCCAGGAAGCTGTGCGCCAACACTCGAGCCCGAGAACAAGGGAAGAAGGAAGAGAAGCTTAAGGCTCCGAGCCAGGGAAGACGAAGACTTCGAGCCAGAGAGGAGGGGCGAAAAGAAGCCCAAGGCTTCGAGCCGCCAGCGGCTCGAGCCAGAGAGCAGCCGAGGGCGTCGAGCTCCGTCGGGCCAGGGCCACGACGAGCGCGGCTCGAGAGCAGGAGCCCCCTCGCCGAGGGTCCGAGGCCATGTTGGAGATACCCCTCCCTCCTCCGCCTCTTCCTCCTCCTCCTCCTGCTCCTCCTCCTCCTCCTCCTCCTCCTTCTCCCTCCGTCCCTCCCTCCCTCCTTCCCTCCCTCCCTCCCTCCCTCCCTCCTCCCCCTCCCTCCCTCACCCCGTCCCCTCCCTCCCACCCGTCCCTCCTCCCTTCCCTCCATCCATCTCTCCTTCCCCCCCCCCGCCTTTCTACAATTATTCAATCTACTCTATCTGACCCTACCTCTCCTCTTCCCCCGATGGCGGCCTGAAAGTAGCCGACCCCCCCCGCGTACTGTTTTTTTACACACAGGATTCCCGGGACTTGGGCTTTCTCCTGCGTTTTTTTTCAAAATGCTACTCTCGCTGAGGCGCCGGCTTCCTTTCTGCTCCCGAATCGTTCCGAATCGTGTTCCCGCTGCAGCGTGTGCCTCATTTTCGGATCGGTGTTTTGCCTCTGTCGTTCAGGATGGCGTTCTCGCCCCAGCGCGGGCATCTTTCTCGCGCGCCCATCCGCCCGCCACCACCGCGCCGCACTACACCCCGCCCCGCCGCACGCACACCAACCGCCACTTCCACCCACCAACGCACGCACGCACGCACGCGCACCACCACCGCCCACCGCCACCACCACCGCACTACCCCACCCACCACCACCACGCTACACCGCGCCACACCACATCACACGCGCGCCCACACAGTCACGCACGCACGCACGCAACGCAAGCAAACGCACGCACGCACGCACGACGCACGCACGCACGCACGCACGCACGCACGCACGCACGCACGCACGCACGCACGCACGCACGCAACGCAAGCACGCACGACACGCACGCACGCCACGCACGCACGCACGCACACACACACACACACACACACCACAACACACACACACACACACACAAACACACATAACATACACATACACATACACACGCACACACCACACGCACACACATAGACACACACCACACCACCACCACCACCACCAACCACCACCACCACCACCGCCATACGCACGTAAGAAGCTGGCCCCAACCACCAAACCACCAGACGCCACACCTGTCACACCACAGCACACGCGCACACACCACACACACACATCACACGCGCGCACACACAGACACACGCGCACACACGCACACACACACACACACATACACACCACCACCACAACAACCACAACACGCACACACGCACGCACGCACGCGCACCACCACCCACTACGCACACGCGCGCGGAGCCACAGGTCCGCTACGACACGCGTCCGCGGAGAGAGAAAATCAGCGCAATGGTAAGGGATGGGAGGGAGGGGTAGGATGTCAGATGTTGACGCGAGCGCACTTAAAATTGCCCTCCCACCCCCTTCCCTCCCTTCCCTCCCTCCCCCCCTTCCCCCCCCCTCCCCCCCTCCCCCCCTCACTCAACCCCTTCCCTCACTCCTCCCTCCCTCCACCTACCCCCCCTCCCCGCCACGTCTCCCTCTCCCCCTCCCCCTTTTCCTCCCCTCCCCACCCCCTGCCCCCCCTCCCCCCCCTCACCCTCCACTCCCCCTTCCCCCCCCCCTACCCCCCCCCCCCTCCCCCTCCCTCCTTCATCCCTCCCTTTTTTTCCCCCCCCCCCCCACCCCTACCCCCCCTCCCCCCCGCCTTCCCTGCTCCCTCCCCTCCCTTCCTCCCTCCCCTCCCAAAACGGCCAAGCGGGCCAAGAGGCGCCCAGGACAGATCCAGAACAACCTCAGAACAGGCTCAATATTAGCCCAAGGCGGGAGCAAGCGGGCCTCGAGACCTCCGAGGGAACTCCGGGACCCCCCGAGACCCCCAACACACCCCACGCCCCTGAGAGGCCCCCAATAAACCCCGACGAGGCCCCCCAAACAGCCCGAGGGAGCTTCGAGAACCGTCCCGAGCCGTCCCGAAGAGGGTCAAATCGTGGATTTCCAATGTTTCTACGTTTTTCGCCTTCTCACACTTTCCCGCTCCCAACGCTCAACGACCGAGGGGTCCCACACCTCCCCCGAACATCTGCGCAACGCTCCGAGTACCGCGCGTTCCAGCCCTGGGGTACCCCAAAATTGCCCAAGGACAGCCCAAGACGACCCCAAGAAGCCCCCCAAACGTAAATCAAACTGCCCAAGATGCTCCCAAGCAACCCACGATAACCTTCGGGCGGCTCTCCAGACTCCCAGGAGGCCTCCACGAGACTTCAACATAGATCCGAGAGGCCTCCCGAGAGCGCCCGGAGAACCTAAGATAGTTGTTTTTTGTTTTCTAGGTTTCTTGGCCTTCTCACCACTTCATGCTTCCAACGCTCCAAGACGGCCGAAGAGGCCCCCAAGACCGCCCCCAAGACCGCCCAAGAGGCCCGCAAGACGACCCCAAGACGGGCCAGGAAAGCCCCAAGACTGCCGAAGAGGCGCCCAAGACGGCGCCAGACCACCCCAGAACAGGCCCAAGATGGGCCCAAGAGCGGGAGCAGGCGGCCTCCAGAGACCTCCGAAAGGACTCCGGGACCCCCCAGAGGTCCCCAACACACTCCACACACCTGAGAGGCCCCAAAAAACACCGTCGAGGCCCCCGAACAGCCCAAGAGAGCTTCGAGAGCCGTCCCGAGAGAGCCCGAAGAGGGTCAAATCCTTGATTTACGATGTTTCGTCTACGTTTTCGCCTCCTCACGCTTTCCCGCTCCCAACGCTCAACAACCGAGGAACTTGAGAACAAGGAATTCCAGAGATTCCCATTTTTCAAATTCAACAAATACGCCCCCCCTCCCCTCCTGGGGGTCTCACACCTCCCCCGAACATCTGCGCAACGCTCCCGGTATTGCGCGTTCCAGCCCCGGAAACGCCTGAGGACAAGCCAGGAAACGCGACAGAGGACGAGCCAGGGAATGTGCCACGCCGAGGGGCGTGCTAAGGGACGTGCCAAGGCAAGTCACGCCAGAACGTTGCAAGGGACGCGCCAGGGGACGCGCCAGCGCGCCAGGGGACGCCCCACGAACGGGCAGGGTTGGGCTGCGACGCATGTGACTGCAACAACTCAGGAAATCCTAATGCTCGACACATCCTCAACAAATCATCATGTTAGACATCCGTCTGGGCGACCTGGACGCGTGAAAGCAAACGCTTCGCCGGAGACATCCAGCCCAAAACCTCATGCTAGACATCCACGCAGGCGACCCGAACACGTGAAACCAAGCGTTTCGCCAGAGACGTCCTCAACACATCCTCATGTTAGACATCTGCCTGGGCGACCTGAACAGGTGAAAAATTACGGTTCACTCGAGACATCCTGAATACGTTCTCATGTTAGACATCCGCCTGGGCGACCTGGGCACGTGAAAAAATCGCTTCGCTCGAGAATTCCTATACACATTCTCATGCGTTGCATCCGATGGGCGACCTGGACACGTGAAAACAATCGTTTCGCGCGAGACATCCTAAACACATCCTCATGTCAGACATCCGCCTGGGCGACCTTGGCACGTGAATATCAACGTGTCGCTCGAATCATCCGCCCAGGCGACCTGGACCAGAGAAATGTTGGGTTTCTCTCGAGACATCCTCAACACATCCTCATGTTAGACGTCTGCCTGGGCAACCTGGACCAAAGAAAACAAGCGTTTCGCTCGAGCTTCCCGCAACTCTGCAAAACGAGCGTTTCACTCGAGACACCCTCAACACATTACGTGAACCGAACGTTCCATTTGGGACTTCCTCAGGAAAATATCCGCATGCCTGCTCTTACCTCGTGCTGAATCACGGAAGAATTCCGCCGACATCCCCCAGAGATGGCACCCAGGGGCAAATTTAGAAACTAAAACCGAGGCCGCCGCCCTTGCCGGGAATATGGAATTACGCGCCGGTCGGACGAAGTAGGCAAACACATGCAATAGGAGGGCGGATCAAGTAGATTGGGCAACGGCTCTCGCGGACAATGGCAGCACACAGCAAAAGCATATCCTCTCCTGACACAGGAAGGCGCCCGAAGTGGATGGGAACCTGGGAATCCGGACCTACCTGCTTTCAACGACTGGCGCGTATGGAATCACGAGGATGCGCAGGGCTCCCATGGTCTGCTGCCCAAGGAAACGAGCCTCCGCGCCCAGGAGCGCGTTTCTTTATGTTCGGCGATGACGGGCGTCATGGGGGGGGGGGAGGGCGGGGGGGCTATGACGTGACGCCCCCCCCCGCCGAGTGGCTCCGGCACCACAGCCGCGCCCGCGCGCACGACGCGACGAGCGACGGGCGACGAGCGACGACGACGACGCGAGCAGCATGTAAGTGGCGATCTGCCCATTGCGCCTGTGTACACCACAACCCTCGCGAGCACCACGTCGCGCGTGTGCACCACAGCGCCTGCGTACACCGCAACAGCCGTGTGAAATGCACCGCCCGTGTATACCACAATACTTGGGAGCACTACAGCGCCGGTGTACATACACCGCAACAGTCTTGTGCAACACAACGCCTGTGTACACCACAGTGCTTGCGTGCACCGCAGCACCTGTGCACGCCACAGCGCCTGTCTACACCACAGCATCCGCGTGCAACGCAACGATGGTGTACACCACGGCGCCTGCGTGCACAGGACAGGTACAAGGAACATGTACGGCAGGATCTGCTGCGGACAACTAAACGCCACGCCAGGAAAGTTCTGAGAATCGAATGCGACATTTTTCCTTCCTCCCTCCTCCTCCACCTCCTCCTCCTCCTCTTCCTCCTCCTCCTCTTCCTCCTCCTCCTCCTCTTCCTCCTCCTCCTCCTCCTCCTCCTCCTCCTCCTCCTCCTTTTCCTCCTTCTTACCCCCTGTCGTGCGGCTTGGCGTTACAACGCACGTGCGCATCTCAGCGTGCACCGCAGAATGGTCGATTGAATCGGTCCACTTGGTTCTCGGACGGCCAGTTTATCTGGAGCCTCCTGGACGCAAGTGGGAGTTAGGGTGATGCGGGCGGACTCGGGGGGACTCGCAGATTCCAGCGGCGCTCCTTTGTCCATGATGATTTGTTTTCCACTGTTTTCTCTGGAATCCAAACGCGCTCCATTTTGTCACAAGGATACCTTCTGAAATTCTATACACAACAACGGTGCTGTGTTGCACACGGTTGATGTGGTGCACACAGGCGCCGTGGCGCACAGGCACTGCAATGCACGCAGGCATTGTGGTGTACACGGGTGTTGTGTTGCGCACGGTTGATGTGGGGTACGGAGGCGATGTGGTGTATGCAGGAGCTGCTGTGCCCGCAGGCACGGTGGCACAAACTGACGCTGTTTTGCACGCGGCTGCTGTGGTGTACATCGGCGGAGTGGTGTACACAGGCGCTGCGGTGCACGCGGGCACTGTGATGTACACAGGCGTTGTGGTGCAGATCGCCACCTACATGTTCGTGCTACCCGTCCTCCGTCATTCGTAAGCATTCCCAGACGCTGCCGGCGCGAAACGTGACGTCATCGACCTCCTCCCCCCCCAGATGATTGCCGTCATCGGCCCGGACTAAAAAACAGGCTCCAGCCGCGTCCGCGCGCACGACGACGATGAGCGACGAGCGACGAACCACGAGCGACGACGACGGACAACGACGACGACGACGACGACGACGACGACGACGACGACGACGACGACGACGAGTCCTGCGGACCAGACACCTATGCGGATTCCTACGCGGACACCTACGCGGATCCCAATGCGCACGGCGGCAGTGCCTGGAGCGCACGGGGGGGTGGGAGCGTTACGTCATGGAGCGGGGGCCATGACGCCCGTTATGCCCCAAGCAATAAAGAAACGGGCTCCAGACGCCCTGGCAGGCGGCCGGGCCATCCCTCCCAGGCGCCCGCCCTCTCCCCTCGGCTTCACGCAGCGAGGGACCCTGGGCAAGGATGACCTCTGCAGAGGGCATGGCCGGGGTGCATTGTCTTCCCTTGACCTTGGTGCGCGCGGTTATATGGGCGCGGGGGGGCCGAACCCGAGCTCACGAGCCGCTGCTACCGCATCGTATTCAGCCACCTGGGGACCCCAGCGTTTTCCCGCACCAAAAGTCACTCTGGCGAAGGGTCACTCTTACGTGTAGTCGGTCATCCCGCGGCGCGCCCACTGCCCCACCCGTACGGGGCCCTTCTGCAGCGGCTCCAGCTGCCTGATCTGCGAGACAAGCTCTGCGATCTGGTCGTACCTCTCTGCCAGGAGGAGCCCGTCGCGGGGGTTCACACAAACACACCGCCCGGGGGGCCCAGCCCTCCTGGGCCCCGAGGGCGGCAGAGGTGGACACTCTCAGGCCCCGGAGGGCCAACATATAACATGCATAGTTGTGTATATCCATATGTATACATACACATACATGTATGTGTGTTTGTCTGTCGGTCTGTTTGCCTGTCTGTCTGTCTGTCTGTCTGTCTGTCTGTCTGTCTGTCTGTCTGTCTGTCTGTCTGTCTGTATGTATGTATGTATGTATGTATGTATGTATGTATGTATGTATGTGTGCGTGTGTGTATGTATGTATGTATGTATGTATGTATGTATGTATGTATGTATGTATGTATGTAGGTCCAGCGGCGCTGACCAAACCTCAGGCGCGCAATGGAGACATCCACAACCGCTTGGCAGAAGAAACCGCCTGCCCCCCCACCCCGGACCCAAGCCAACACAGACCCCCAGCATGACGACCTGCGACTTGAGGAATCCGAAAGATACCGATACCGCTGCTCCTTGGACCTCTCCTGGGCCGCCTTCTGACCAGGACTTCGCTGCAAATCCAGCGGTGGTGACGAGGGCTGCCCAGGAAGCCCCAAAAGGGGAAAACGAGCGCAGGGTAGAGGTATGGGTCGGCTATACGCAAGAGTTACCCTGGGTAAGAGTGACCTTTGATGCGCGACTTTTGGGGGGCCGCCGGGGCACCAAACCTGGGCGCGCGAGCAGCTGCTGCTGCTTCGTCTTCAGCCATCTGGGCGCCCATCTGTGCCCGCACCAAAGGTCACTCCGGCGAAAGGTCACTCTCACGTCTAGTCGAATGGGTGCCCTGCCCTCCCCTGACAGCCGGCGCCCGCCTTCGCGTGCCGCGCGGGAGGGGAGGCATCACCGCTGGGAGGCCGGAAGCGGCCCCGGGGGGCGCCAGAGGGCGGCTGCCGCCCAGGGGGTTGCCCGTGGCTCTCCCTTGCCCATGAAGACCGCCCGCAGGGGACCCCGCCAGGGAGGCCCTGTGGCGGCGGGGGCCCCCCGGGAGGCCCCCACGGGAAGAAGAACGGGAGAAATGTAGAAGTGTGCACCCAGACATGCGACGTCCTGACTTGTGAGCTACGCGGTCTCTGGGAGTCCCGGCCCATTCCAAGGGCCGGCTTCTCATCCTGAATCGGTTCTGGACGGCCCCGGGGCCCTGCGAGGGCCCCCGGATGCCGAACAACAAAAAAAACGTCCTGATTGTTTCAGCCGACGCGATCCTGTCTGGGTAGGTATCTCTTTACCTCCTCCGGGCACTGTCCACTGTCCACCGCCTGCTTCACGCGCAGCTTGAGCGCGGCCACGCGAGCGGCCGGGTCGGCGGCTTCCTGGAGTGATGGGCCAATTTTCCACCATCAGGACGGGGGAGGAGGGGATGGGGAGGTCATCCTTCTCCTCCTCCTCCTCCTCCTCTTCCTCCTGCTCCTCCTCCTATTTCTCCTCCTCCTGCCTCGCCTACCCATGACAGGTGGAACATCGGCCCATGATGGAGGGCGTCCGCAAGCGCGCGCAGCAAGGGCAGGCGCTGTGCCGAGAGGGGGTGGACCTGGCTGGCGGCCTCCGCGCGAGCAGGCCGCGCTCCAAGAAACTGGTGGGCTCTGCATGTCGTGTTTCCTCCTCCTCCTCCTCCTCCTCCTCCTCCTCCTCCTCCTCTGCCTCCTCTCCTCCTCCTCTCCTCTCCTCCTCCTCCTCCACTTCCTCCTCCTCCTGCGTGTCCTCCTCCTCCTCCTCCTCCTCCTCCTCCTCCCTGCCTCCCTCCCTCCCTCCTCCTTCTCCGTCTCCTCCTCCAAGAAACCCTCGCAAGATACCCAGCCCTGCAAACCCGCGCGCGCGAGGCACACGGCAGCCAACCAAGAGCACCCTGAGCGCAGCAGCTTCTCCAGCGGCTGCAGGCAGTCACCCCGCAGCGCTCGCGAAAAGCAACTGGTTTCTTGATGCGCGTCCCCATTGCAAAATCCTGTCATCGACGCAAGAAAAATAGCCCAATCGAGGAAGTCCGAAACTTCAGACGCAACCGTGATTATGTCACCCGTGCTGGCAATGATGGCCGCCCCGATTTTCTGGCCCACCCAGCAGGAAAGAATGGGACGACTCTATATCATGAGGGGGCCGAGAGGTCATTCACTGTTCCTGGACGTCGGGCGGGTGATAATTAGGGGGTGACCTGAACATGAGGGGGGGGGGGAAGGAGACCTAAAGGCGCCCTTTGAGGTCCCGTTTGGGCCCCTTCTGGGCTCGCTCTGGTTCCAAACGGGACCCTGAAGGGCCCCTGTAGGGCCCTTGTCTTCCACCTCCATTCAGGTCCCCCCATTGCCACCCGCCCAGTGGGGTTCCGCGGTCCAGATTGTGGTTGAATTGTCACTTCTAGCGAATCACTGTTGTTGATCCAAAACATCCCCGGTAATCATTGCACTGTTCCCATCCATCCGGTGGTGTTGGGCCCCCGTTTTGAAGAGACAACGGCCCGCGTTCCTCTCCTCCTCCCCCTCCTCTCCTCCTCCGCCCTCATCCCCTCCCTGCCTCTGCCCTCCGTATGTCCTCCATACGGTGCTCTACCGAATTCCCCAGGTGAACGGGTCCCACATGCAGTTCCACCCCCATCTCGTCGCACGCCTCACACGATTCGTGGCTCCATAGGGTGCCCCACCGAAGGCCCCAGTGGCAGGGTCTGCATGCACTTCCAAACTATTTCGGCGCACCCCTGACACTTCCATGGCCCCATAGGGTGCTTTACTGAAGGCCCCAGTGGCAGGGTCCGCATGCAGTTCCACGCCAATTTCGGCGCACCCCTAACACGCTTCGTGGCCCCATAGGGTTCTCCACCGAAAGCACTAGTGGCAGGGTCGGCATGCAGTTCTGCTTCATGTCGGGGTTCCCCTCACACGTTTCGCGGCACCACAGGGCGCTCCACCGAAGGACCCAGTGGCAGGGTCCGCATGCACTTCCAGCCCCATTTCGGCGCACCCCACACAAGTTTCGTGGCCCCATAGGGTTCTCCACCGAGGGCCCCAGTTGAAGGGTCCGCGTGCAGTTCCAGCCTCCATTTCGGCGCACCCCTCACACGCTTCGTGGCCCCATGGTGTGTTCCACCGAAGGCCTCAGGGGCAGGGCCCGCATGCAGTTCCACCCAATTTCGGAGCACCCCTCACACGCTTCGTGGCCCCATAGGGTGTTCAACTGAATGCCCCAATGGCAGGGTCCGCATGAGCTCCCACCTCCACTCCGGCGCACCGCGCGCCCCTCACACAGATCGTGGCCTCATAGGGTGCCCCACCGAAGGCCCCAGTGGCAGGGTCCGCATGCAGTTCCACCCCCATGTCGGCGCACCCCTCGCAAGTTCCGTGGCCCCACACGGTGCTCCACCGAAGGACCCAGAGGCAGGGTGCGCATGCACTTCCACCCCCATTTCGTCGCACACCTCACACGTCTCTTCGCGCCCTCGACACCTAAAAATCACGCTCTCCCTATGGATTTCCTCACGATTTCCCGCTGTCGCTTGAGACTTCCTCGCGATCCACGCAGGGCGCACGCTTCAGCAGCCCGCCGGCTCGACCTGGCTCCCTGGGCCTGCCTTCCCGACCCGACCGTTAGCGCCCGCCCGCCTGATCGGCCCGATTGATTATGCCGCAGCGTGCGTTCTGGTCCAAGCCCCACTACTGCTACTGTCTCTCGTGCCGCTTTCGTCCTCGGCTCCCCTGCCTTAGCGGCTGCTCAGTAAGATATACCCACCCACAGGGGTACGATCGAAGACGAAGAAGGCGGGTATCGAAGGTTTGGGATCTACGTGTTGACTGGCACGCGAGCAGATAAGAGCGAACATTATTAAAATGACTGGTGTTGTTGATGTTGTTGCTGTTGTTGTTGAGTTTGTTATTGCTGCTGTTGTTGTTGGATTCTCACAGCGGGAATATAGATATACATAGATATATATATATATATATATAGATGTGTGTGTGTGTGTAATGTTGATCCCCCCGGTGACCATTGCATTTTTCAATTGAAATGCCCCCCCCGGGGCTGGCACCCTGCTTTTATCCGGAAAAACCAACTCGGCTCAAACCGGGCCCGTGACCCCCGCTTTAAAACAATAACGGCTCCCGCCTGATCCGTCCTCACAATGCATTTTCAAATCGCGCTTTCCCGCGTGACTTCCCAACAATTCATGTACGCATCGCGCTATCGCGTGGGACTTCCTCGCAGTGTATTCAGACGATGCGCCCTCGGCGCTGAGGAATCACGCTCTCGCTTTGGTTGTTTCGCGATTTCCTTGGGAATCGCGCTATCGCTCGAGGCTTCCTCGCGATTCATATGCAGGACCCACGCTTCAGCAACCCGCCTGCTCGACCTGGTCGCCTGGGCCCGCCTTCCCGACCTGCGAGCTATGGGTCTGCCCACCCGATCTGCCCGTCTGGTTCTACCACTCATTTTCTGCTCCTTGCCCCCCGTTTGCTAGTTTCTCTCCTGCTCCGTTCTTCTCCCTCCCCCTTGCACCCGTCCTCTCTTCCCCTGTTTTAGGGGCTGCACTAGATGCGCGTGGCAGGTAAGGAAGATATACCCCGAAGGGGATACGATTGAAGACGACGAGGGCGGGCACCAAGGGTTTGCCGAGGGTTTGGGATACACGTGTTGATTGGCACGGAACCCACCCCGCCGCCCACCTCGCAACCCACCCGCGACCCACCCCGCGACCACCCCGCGACCCACCCGCGACCCACCCCGCGCCGGCCCCTCACTCTTATCCGCAACTGGAGGGGTGCAACGTGTTGGGCTCAGCGTCTCCGTCGTGCGATCCTCGAAAACGAGAAAAGGTAGCACGCATGCCGTTGTGGAGGACCTGGTCTGAGCTGGTTGGGCCAGGAGAAAAAGTGGCCAGGACGGCGGGAGAAGGCAACTCGGCTGAAAATCTGCCTCCAGGCCCCTCCCCAGGTTCAGCTGGTGCAGTTTTTCACCCCAGATCCGTTTCTGACGCTCCTGGGGCCCGAAAGCGGCCCCCGAAGGCCGAAAAGGGCCCCCCCCCCTTTTTCCTTGTCGCTGGGACTAATGCTGGACCACCTCAGACCTCAGACCTCCCGGCGGCACCAACTTGAGCAAACGGAGCCCCAACAGGCGAGCGACGAAAACAAAGGGGTCTTACGCGAGATGACGTAGCGCCTTTGCGCGGTGGCTTGCGCGGGCCGCCGGCGCGGCACGCCACATTGGAAACGAGGGCGCTTGCGCGCGACCTCACGCGGGAAGCTTACGCGCCAATGTCGGCGCACATGACCCCGTGAATAAAGGAGCCCAGGGACACACTAATAAATGCACAACAAGTCCCAGGATCCCCCATACCTATACGACCGCCCTGCGGACGATAAGAAGGTTGGGGGGTGATTGAGATCAAATGCCCACCCTGACTGACCTCCAGCCTGTCACCTTGGGTAAGATAATATTAACTGGATTGGACAACATGGATTGGATAAGATAAGCTGGATTGGATAAGAAAGCCCACCGCAGGCGCCGACCAAAATGAATTGATGGATTGGGTTGGGTGGATTTGATTGGATGGGATAAGATGGATTTGATAAGATGGGTTGTATTGGGCGGAATGAATTGGATAAGATGAGATGGAGTGGATTTGCCCACCGCAGGCGCAGAAACAAATGAATTGATTGATTGGGTTGGATTGGATTGGATGCGATAAGATGGATTGGATAAGATAAGATGAGTTGGATTGGAAGAAATGGATTGTATAAGATAAGATGGATTGGATTGGCCCACCGCAGGCGCAGAAACAAATGAATTGATGGATTGGGTTGGGTTGGATTGGGTGGGATACGATAAGATGGGGCAACATGGTTGGATAAGATAAGATGTATTGGATTGGACAAGATGGATTGGATGAGATAAGCTGGATTGGACAAGAAACCCCGCCGCAGGCGCCGAAAAATATAGCGCCGGGACGCCCGGGACACCCGGGACACCGCCCGGCCCAACTGGGACACCTCCCGGCCACCGGCGGACGGGAAACGGACTTCGAACGCTCCTACTGACACCCGGGACACCTGGGACACCGCCCGGCCCAACTGGGACGCCTCCCGGCCACCGGCGGACGGGGAACGGACTGTCGCTCCTACTTCGGCCTAGTTGCAGGAGGATCACGCGCAGCTTCGCCTCGCCCGCGCGCACGACACGAACACGAAACCGAAACCGATTTCTCGGTGGGGGGTCTCCGTTTCACTGCGATCTCACCCCACAACCTCCGATTTTCCAATACTTTCTGGATATTCTTCTTCCCCCCACTTCCCACAGTTTCCCATATTTTCCTGGGAGTCGACGCTCAATTGTGTCTGGTTTCGAGGCGCACTCGATGTGGACAAACATCTGACCCCTAGAATTAAATCGGGACTGTCCCCCTACAGGGGGATTCTCGACGAAAGATAAAACATACCTCAAGAATACTCCCAAATGGTAAAAGTATGCAAAAAAACGTCCCCATACTCCAAACATACTCCAAGCATACTCCACAAATACTCCGAAATAGTAAAACAGATTCAAAGAATAGTCCCCAGACTACTTTTTGACGATGTTCGAATAGACCCCCTGTAGAGGGACAGGCCCGACTTTAACCCCAAACGCTCGATGTCTGTCCATGTCCTGTGCGCCTCGGCCCTGCGGCGCCCCTCGCGAGACAGCCCAGGACGCACTGGGTACGCATATCTACATTTTTATATATATATATATACACATATATATCTATACATATATATATACATATATATACATATATAGATATACATCTTGCAGGACGAAACCAAAGCGAACGCAACATCGGGTGAGGATATCTGGGCGCCCGACATTGGCACGGAAAGCACGGGCACGATGCCCGGCAACCAGTGTGGTCCAAACCAACAGCGGCCGCTGTTGGGCAGGCGGCCTTCTGTCTCAAGTGGACACGGGCCGCGGCGGCGCGGACAGCGAGTCCTGCTCAAGATGAAGAGGAACTGCTGTTGGGCATCGTGCCAATTCTTTCCGTGCCCATTTCGTTCGTGCAGAGACGAAGCTAGAGCAAACCCAACATCGGGTGAGGATCAATTGTGAGTCTCTGAGATCCGGCGGGTTTGGAGGATGTCTCGGGCGCTGCGGCCTCCTCCGAGCGAGCGCTCTGGAGCGCTCCGAAACCGCTCAGGGACGCCCCGGAACGGACTTCTCCTGGTCCTGGCCTCAGGTTGGGCACGTCCTCCAAGAGGCGTTCTTTTGAACCAGCAATACAGAAATATAGCAAGCATGATCAACAATAGCCAAAAGAGCACGTCAAATCGTCCCGAGACTGGCTTATTACCATATATATATATATAACAGATTCCTCCTGTACAAGCACATGCCCGACTTCATCCTAGCACTGTGCGACCCTGCCCGCGTGAACGCGTTGATTCCGCCCAGCCACCAACCCTGATAAGCCGACTTCCACCACCACTGCAAGAGTTAGGAGGAGAGGGCGGCGGAGGAGGACGAGGAGGAGGCGGAGGAGGCGGAGGAGGAGGAGGAGGAGGAGGAGGTGGAGGAAGAGGAGGAGGTCGAGGAAGAGGTCGAGGAAGAGGAGGAGGAGGAGGAGGAGGAGGAGGAGGAGGCGAGGAGGAGGAGGAGGAGGAGGAGGAGGAGGAGGAGGAGGCGGAGGAGGTCCAGGAGGACACGGCCCCAAGGGACGACCGTCGACGGCGAGGCGACGGGCTCCCTTCAGTCCCCAGCCAGCAGCTGCTAAGGCATCAGACAAGCGTGGCGGGGTTAGCTGGCGCAGCTGCCGTAGCCGAGCGGGGCGGAGGAGGATGAGGAGAAGGAAGAGGAGGAGGACGAGGAGGAGGAGGAGGAGGAGGACGAGGAGAAGAGGAGGAGAACGAAGGAGAGGAAGGGGAGGAGGAGGAGGAGGAGGAGGAGGAGGAGTAGTAGAAGGGGAGGAGGAGGAGGAGAAGGAGGACGAGGAGAGGAAGGGGAGGAGGACGAGGAGAAGGATGTGGAGGAGGAGGAGGAGGAGGAGGAGGACCTCCCCATCCTCACTTCTCCCACGTTCTGGCTTCTGCAGCGTCAGGCCGGGCATGGCCTCCTGCAGGCGGACTGTTGCAGAAGAATGAAGACAGAAATTTGCAAAATATGGCCGAACATAATCAAAAACACATGCCCCGACTTTGTTGTTCCACTGTGCTTCGATATTCCCTCTGCTAAGGGAGAAAAGCCTGACTTTATCGGCGGTGGACCAACCTCCCTTTAGTAAACCTCGTTTTAAGGAAAACGGCCTGGGACCAAAACCGACGCACCTGGACCCGCAGAACTGAAGGCCGCGACGCCCTCTCGCGAACCGGAAGCGGCCAATCCGCGAACCGACGTGTCAAGGTAGGAGATCTATCCTTCTCGATGTGTGCGTGTCATCCTTGCGCAGGGGGCCAAGCTAATCTTCTCTGTATCGTTCCAATGTTAACGGGTGACCCCCGAAGGGAATCCCTGACTTGATTGTATCGGGAGCGGCCAAGAGGTGGGTGTCCATGAGGGGGGGGTGCAAATCATGACCGGCGGCATGTGCGCGGCCCAGCGGGGGGGCCAGGGACGTAATGAAATAAGAAGAGGCGCCATGAGATTTGGGGAAATATCATGGCCCCCGCCATGATATCCCCCCCCCCCTATTCATTAGAGGCCTCCTTGATGGGGTCGGAGTAGATGGGGTCGGAGGATCGCGCCGCATCGCCGATACATCGGTCATACATCGGCGATGCATCGGCGATGCACCGGCGATGCATCATCGACGTCGGCGATGCATCGGCGACGTCGACGCGAAGCAAATCGGGCTGCACACCGAGCCGCAACGGCGCTGCATCGTCGATGCGGCGCGATCCCCCGACCCCGTCTGCTCCGACCCCGTCTGGGAGGCCCAGAGAAGTACGGTGGGAGCAACAGGAGCGTAGTTGTCTTGTGGTCGGCACGTCTGCGCCGCTCTTGCTCCTCCGGGCGCTGGGCCGTGAGGAAGCCGTGAGGAAGCCCCCCGTAGTTCGGGAGCGGCCAAGAGGGGGGTGTCCAAGAGGGGGGGGTGCAAATCATGACCGGCGGCATGTGCGCGGCCCAGCGGGGGGGCCAGGAACGTAATGAAATAAGAAGAGGCGCCATGAAATCTGGGGCAATACCATGGCCCACGCCATGATATCCACCCCCCCCTAGTCATCACCCCCCTCTTTTCCGCCCCCGAGTAGTCATCCGCCCCCCCCTCTTTGCCGCCCCCGAGTGGAGGCGGATCCCTGGCCCATCGGAGCCCAGGCACGCTGCGGGGCCGCCCGCCCGCGCGCGGGGCCCGCCCTCCGAGCGCTCGAGGCCCCCGCCGCTGCGCGCCCCCCCCCCCCCCGCCGGGACGCGCCCGCGCCAGCGCGGCTCGAGAGGGCCCCCGGGCCCCCTGGTATGGGCAATCTCGGGAACCCTGCTCCTCCTCCTCCTCCTCCCCTCCTCCTCCTCCTCCTCCTCCTCCTCCTCCTCCTCCTAATCCTCCCCCTCCTCTTCCTCCTCCTCCTCCTCCTCCTCCTCCTCCTCCTCCTCCTCCTCCTCCTCCTCCCCTTCCCCCTCCTCCTCGTCCTCCTCCACCTCCTCCTCCTCCTGCTCCTTCTCCTCCTCCTCCTACTCCTCCTGCGTAGGCCTGCCAACTGGGCGATGTCGGAGCCCAAAAACGCTGTCGAAGGGGGCCCATGGACACGCAAATAAATAGACACGAATCCCGGGATTCACATCAGCATATTTTCTGAAAGTTTCTGGGTTGTCGTCTTCTCCCCCCCACCTCCCATATTTTCCTCTCTCTCTCTATATATATATATATATATCTCTCTTCTTGGGAGTCGACGATTTCTTGTGTCTGCGCGATTTTCCCCCTCCTCATATTCATCTCTTGGGGGCGCCTCTTTCACTTCCACCGTCTTCCGCCGGCGGAGGCGGCCTCGTTTTACTTCCGCCGACCTTCCGCCGCCCTTCGGCCGCGGAAGAGATGACAACTCCTTGATCCTCGAAGGCAAGGCCGTTTGTGGAACGCTCGGGCGCCGCGGCCTTCTCCGAGCGCCGCGGAACGCTCCGGGAGCGTTCCGGAACGCTCTGGAGCGGATTTGTCCTCGTCCCAGCCTCACCCGACCAGGCGCGGATGACAAGAATGCGAGGCGGGGATTTGTCCATATCCACCGGCTGGGAACCGACGTCCTGGTGCCCCAGCGGGCGGTGGATATGGATATATGTTGGCCCCCAGGGGGCCGAATATATCCATATCCACCGCCTGTGGAGGTCCGCGAAGATCGATACCCCAGGCGGTGGTTCTGGATAAATCCCCGCCGCGGGAGGAAGGCATCCACGTAAACTTTCGACGATCCGCGCGGATCTCTTGGACCTGCGGCGGGCCGTCGAAATGAAGGCGCCCGCGACCGCGGCAAAACAGAGCCCGCCGCACGCCGAGGAGGGAAGGAGAGGCAGTTGGCGGAAGCCAAGATCCGATGAACAGCAGGTCGGGCCCCGTGGGTCGGGCATGTCCTCCTACAATAAACTTTTGGACGACAATCAAACTATAGTCTAATAAGAAAATGTATTCTAACAAGACCCCTAAGTAGCCGAATAATAATCAACAAAAAATCGCACCCCCCGATTTGTTGACTAGTCTTGAGCATCCCCCCTGTAGAGGGACAGGCCCGACTTACGCTCAGCACCAGCTCTTCGAGTGGAGGCCCAGCCGTGGGCGACGAGGGCCCCCGCAGGCCCAAGACGGCGAGTCTCCGCGTGCACCCGCCCGCGAGGCCCCCGGCCGCGCGGAAGCCCACCGAGGCAGGAGCGCAGGCCGCCCCCCGCGCGGCGCCCGCGCCGGGCAGCAGGACCCGTGGGCGCAACGCAGCTCCGCATCCGCCCGCCTCGCGGGCTTCGGGCCCCGAAAGCCGCGAACCCGCGGCCTTCGGGGCGTTTTCCGTCGCGGATGCCCTGCGCGGGATGCAGCCGTGCGGCGGGGTCGTCGCCGGTCGACACGACACGAACCTATCGTAGGACGTGTTTGTCGCTCGTAAAGCATGCCCCAGGGCCGTGGCGCTCACAGCTTCGCCGCGCCATAGCTCAGCCGCAGCCGCTCGTCGGGCTCCGCCGTCGCCGCTCGCTCGGCCAGGCGAACCAGCCGCGGGGCGGAGTGGAAGTCGTGCTGGGCGGAAGAGGGAAAGACGCCACAGACATGCCAGGCGAAGGGTAACTCACATGGCCGGACTCATTTGAAGGGGCACAGGGACACACAACTAATAACTACACATAAGTCCTGGGATTCTCTATATTTGTCGGTTTTTCCTCCTCTTCCCCACCTCCCATACTTTCTATATTTTTCTGAGGAATCGACGATTACTTGTGTCTGAGTATCTTTTCTCCTGACCATTGGGGCGACGAGCAGACAGGGATGGCATGGCCACCTTTCGCCGTGGCTCACGCGGGCCTGCAGCGCGGCACGCTACATTGGAAACTAAGGCGCTTGTGCGCAACCTCTCTACGCAAGCAACTCGAGCGCGAATTTCCGTGCCGCTCATACATAGAAAATGTAGCATGTGGAAGATTCACATGCCTGGCCAAACAAGGTCCCAGCGCTGGAAAGACATGACATTTTGAGGTCAGCACAGACCTCTTGGATCGGCGCTGGGAACTTCTCGCCTCCTTGGCGCGCGGAGCGCGCCAACGGCGGCGGCCGAGGTGCCGCCGGGGGGGGGGGGGGGTCCAGCGCCGATCCCAGAAATCCGTGCGGCCGCCGTGGAAGGAGTAGGTAGAACCATACAGCAGGCAGGCGTTGAAAGGAAATTGGGTTTCTGCCCGCCCCCTGAAGAGAAAAGGCAACCAGACTACATTCCCAGACCCCCGACGTCGGCTTTCTTCGCAACGTCGACCCCCAGAGGTCTCGACCCTTTCCCCGGGACGGGTTTTCCATCCTGGATCGTTGTGTTACGCTCCCGAGGCCACAGACAAGCCACCTGGAGGCAGGGGTTTCACATCGCGACAGGGTCTGGGGTAGAACCTGGGAATAAACACAGATTTGCGGCCAGAAACTCTTGCGCATCGCGTCGCGGCGGCGGCTTCGGCGACTCGTGGTGCCCTGCGAGCTGTCCTCTCACTCCCCCTCTAAGCCTCAGTCCTCACTCCTGTCGTCACTCCTGCAGAATTCTTATTCTTATTAGTATTATTAGTATCATTATTATTATCATTAGTATTATTATCATTATTAGTATTATTACTATGATTATTATTATTATTATATAAAAAATGGGAGGCCCCTCGGCCCAAATCTCCCCCCGGGCGTGGCGCGTGACCCATTCGAGCGTTCTCGCACGACTTTCTCGAGCCCAGGAGGAGCCCCAAGAAGCCCCCAAGACGGTCAAAGAGGGCCCGTGTCGCCGACCGATCGCTCCCAGACGTTCAAGATGGCCCTCAGACGGCCCAGGAGGCCTCCAAGATGCCCAAAGAGACCTCCGAGAGGCCTCCCAAGAGGGCCCCAAGACAAGAGGCCTACATCATTGATTCCCCTTAGGTTTCTGTAGGATTCTGGCGTTCCCCAAGAACCCCCGAAGAGGCTCCCAGAGGCGCCCAAGAGTCGCCCAAACCGCCTCCAAGAGGCCCCCGAGAAGCCTCCCACGAGAATACAACGAACATCAACCACAACCTACAACCCAGGTGCAGTGGCGGAATGGGCCGAAGGCCATAGATCGAGGCCTCCCAGAAGAGCGGCGAAAACAAACAGAACTTACGCGAGACGGCATAGCAACCTTACGCGGGTGCCTATGCGGGCCGCTGGCGCGGCACGCCACACTGGAGACGAGGGCGCTCACGCGCGACCTCGGGCGGGCAGCTTGCGCGCCGATGTCGGCGCAAGAGACCCCGTTTGGTTTGCGTCGCCCAGATTGGGTCGCTCAGATTTCTCGCGCCGGTGCATCGTCGATGCATCATCGATCATCGATGCATCGGCGATGCATAGACGATGCATCGTCGACGTCACCGATGCTTCGGCGAAGTCGAAGTGAAGTAAGACGAAATCGGCATCGAGCCGCATCGCCGATGTATCGGCCATGCGCAGAAATTCTTCGACCCCATCTACTCGGATCCCCTTTGGGAGGTTGAGGGTATACCCCCAACGAGCGTACACCTCCCCTCAGATCTGACCTTGCAGAAAATCACCACCAAAGCCCTGGACCCCATCTTCCTGCGTCATTCCTCGAGCCGGGTCGACCCGAGGGGGCTCTCGGGTCCGCGAAACGCACCCGAGATCGCCCAGTGTCAAAAAAATTGCACCGCCCAGCTCTGGGGGCTCATGGAGCGGTCGGCATGTCGTCGTCTGCTGCCTGCTTCTCCCCTCTTCCCCTTCCGCCGGACAGCACTGCCTGCCCGGGCTTCGGTAGGAGGGCTTCGGTAGGAGGGCCTGTAGAGACGCAACGAGGACTGCGGATTTGTCCCTTGCGTAGGTTGATGATATTCCAACCTACTTCAGCCTTGACCGCCAGAAAGAATTCCGGGCACCACGGAAAGCTCCGAAGCTTGTCGGGCCCTGGGAGGCGCTACTCGTTCGACACTGTTTCGATACTTTTCTGGGCGCTCGAAATGATCTGGGATGTGGCCCTTAAGTTATTAGCCTCCTAGATGGGGTCGGAGTACATGGGGTCGGAGCATCGCGCCGCACCGGCGATACATCGGCGATGCATCGGCGATGCATCGGCGATGCACGGGCGATGCACCGGCGATGCACCAGCGATGCATCAGCGACGTCGGCGATGCATCGGCCACGTCCGCGTGAAAAGGGCTCCGCATCGAGCCGCATCGGCGATGCATCGGCGAGGCGGTGCGACCCTCCGACCCCATCTGCTCCGACCCCATCCAGGACTGGCCATCGCTCGGACGTCCATTCCCTGTGCTTTTTCCAGTTTCGTGCGTGGCTTTTTCGCCGAATGATCAAGGATGCTCCTCGATGGTCCTCGCCGAAGGAAAAATGCACACGTCCGAGCGATGCCAAGAGGAGGCCCAGATGAGTAACTACGGTGGGAGCAACAGGAGCGTGGGTGTCCTGTGGTCGGCATGTCTGTGCTTAGTGGACACTGGAAACGACAGAGCCGTTTTTTTTACCGGTTCCGTTTTGCCTGTTTTTCCCGGTTGGGACGCCGTTTATTTACCGGTTCCGTCGCCGTTTTAATGACCGGTTCCGGCTCCGGTTCCAATCCTGGAGCCGTTTTTTTGCCGTTTCCGGTCGTCGTTTTTTGCCGCTTGAATGTTGAAGGGACATTTTGCTGGAAGCGGTGAAAAAACGGCCCTGCCGTTCCCGGGGCCCACAAAGCGGTGGGAGCAACATGAGCGTGGGTGTCCTGTGGTCGGCATGCCTGTGCCGCGCTCGCTCCTCCGGGCGCTGGGCCGTGAGGAAGCCGTGCACGAGCCGCAGGGTGGGGCACGCGGGCGCCAGCTCGCAAGCCACCCGCCGGGCGCCCCGGCGCTCGTGCTCGGCCCGCGCCCGCAGCGCCTCCTCGTGGCTGGCACCCGAGATCAACACATCGCCAATCAGCGCTTGCACTGAAGGGGTCCTGCAGGGCAGGTTTTCATACATAGGATTGTTAATATATAGGAGTTGCTTCACAACGTTAATTCATGAATCAATTGATGCATAAACTCATCCTTGTATATATATATATATATGATGCATAAACTCATCCTTGTATATATATACATCTATATATATACATGTATTCACAACCCTTTAAAACAAATGCATGGACCGCACGCGGAGCATGTGTTAAAACCGGCGCTGCAGCTAGCAAATATGGAACAATTTGGCGCAAACGTCCCGCCGAATTTGGTGACCAGCTGGGTTCCCGGGTTCCCGGGTCGCGGGTTCCCAAGTTCCTGGTCATTGGTTCCAGGCCGATTTCGGTGGGTTCCGGGTTCCTGGATTCCCAGTCGGTCTCCTTGTCGATCAAACCATCCACTGATTGGGCTGTTTCCCTGGTGTAATCAAAATGGAGAACATGAACACGATGCCCATCACGGTGAGGGCATTGACTAAGGAACCAGATAAGGAATCCAGGGTCTGGAAGCTGGTGAAAGGATATCACCGCCGCCCTCATCAGATACGGAACCCTCCAGGGTCTGCAGCTTCCTGGGCACATTCTTCAACGAAAGCCACCACCGTAACACCGTAAGCGTTGTCCCAAACCGACAACGGTCGCTGTTGGGCAAGCGACCTTCTGTCTCTGTCTCAAATGAGCAAGGTGTCCACAGCGGCACCGACCGCGAATCCTATTCAGAAAGAGCAGGAGTTGCTGTCGATCTCCGTGACCAGTCTTTCCGTACCCATTCCGAGCGTCCCGGTCCTCGGGCAGGCCCACGTTGGGTGTGGCCAGGTAGGACAGGCGGTACGGCGTCTGCCAGGGTGGGCGAAGAGGGCGGCTAGGCAAAGGGGAAGCTGGGGAACCCAGACCGCCTCGCGTCGCAACAGCTGAAACAAATCTAGAAGAAGCGGGCTCGCGCTCCTCAGCTCCCAGGGGCCCTCACCGGGCCCCGGGGACCGTGAACGGAAGGAGGGTCGGGACGGAACACCGGCCCTTGGGGACTGGGTCCAGAAGTCTGGGGAGGCACGTTGAGAGAACTTCCTGGGGCTGACACGCTCCGCACCGACTGCAGGCAGGAATGACCCTGGGCGCAAGAGCGACCTTTGGCGCGCGTCTTCCAGGGACAGCGAAGGGCCCAGATCCAAACGCGCGGGCCAGTGCTGTGGCCGCCCCGGGTAAGCCCTCACCCAAGAGTCACTCCGGCGAAAGGTCACTCTTCCCAGACCCCCGACGTCGTCATTGTTTCACAACGTCGACCCCCAGGGGTCTCGACCCCATCCCCGGAACCAGCTTTTCATCCTGACTCGTTTTTTGACGGTCCCGAGGCCAAGTGAGGGCCCCCAGAAGCTGAAAGTAGCGGAAAAACATCGCGTCGACACTTGTTTCACAACGCAACGGGGTCTTTGGGTTACGCGCAGCCGAACTTTTGGCCCCTTTGTTTCAGTCGGACACGTCCTTCTAGAGGCGGATTTGGAAGAAACAGATGATGAACAATATGAAAAACATCGTCACCTGACTATTTTCTGATATTTTGCAATGTTCCTCCTGTGGAAGGACATGCCGACACGCCCGACCTGACCCGTGGTCCACCACGGGCTCCCCCGGGACACCCCGCGAGGGCCTCCCCCGAGGGCCAGGGCCACCCCTGGCAGGCCCGAGAGGCCCCCCACCCCGGGCACTGCGGCCGGCTGCAGCCAGAGGTCGACGACGACGACGACGACGACGACGACGACGACGGCGGCGAGGTCGACGACGACGACGACGACGACGACGACGACGGCGACGACGACGGCGACGACGACGGCGACTACGACGGCGACGACGACGGCGACGACGACGGCGGCGGCGGCGGCGACGACGACGGCGGCGGCGGCGGCGACGACGGCGGCGGCGGCGGCGACGGCGGCGGCGGCGGCGACGACGACGGCGGCGGCGGCGGCGACGACGACGACCCCACAGGGCCAGAAGACGGCACGCATCGACCGGGAGATCGCGCCCGGCGGCGGAGTCGAGAGACTGGCCGCGCGCAGCACGTCGCGCATCTGCCGCCTGTGCCTACGTAGCCCGCCTTTGCCTACCCCCCCGCCTCGCCCGACCCGAGTCTCGGGGGGGTCGGCGCCGAAGATCCACCCGAAGATCGACACCGTGCGCTCCATGTGGAACTCGCTCGTCACCACCAGCAGCCGCCGCCAGCCCGCGACGTCCGTGTGGCAGACGCGAGCGAAGAAGGCGTTGCCGATGGTGTCGAACGACACCGTCTCTGCGTACAGCGCGCTCTCCTGGACGCCCCGCCGCACGCGGCGGAGGAGGGCCAGCGGAGACGACGGCGGCTGACTCGCCAGGCCCAGGTCAACTCACATCCGGCCCCCGACCACTGCCGCGTCCATCCTCACCCGCTCTTTCTAGGTGGCGCGACCGGGGGGAAGTGAGAAGGGGCGGGCCTTCTCAGAAGGCTCGGTCTTCCCCCAGCCTTCTGAGAAGTGTCCTAGGCCGTCCCCGGAAGCGGTGGCGAAAACCTCTCAGGAGGCGCGAGGGCTTCTGAGAAGTCCCGCCGCCTTCTGAGAAGGCCTCCTCCTGCTCCCGTCCCCCCTCGCTCGCCGCCGCTGTTCAGGCGGGCCCCGCCGTGGCGACGAGAGGGGACATCGACGCCAGATCGACGCTCACCGACGCTAGATCGGCGCAGAATCGGCGCTATCTCATCGACTCCCAGACGCTGGTCGACGCTGATCGGCGCTAAAGACAAAATCGCGACGGCACACAGAGCTCCTATTTTAGGGGAACAAACAATGACATACACATGAACGTTTTGGGGGTCCGCGCGGATTACTTGGATCTGCGACGGGGGGAATCCGCGCGGAGCGCCAACAGTGAATGTTCATGCTGTGTTTTGTCCCTCTGAAATTAGGTCGGGCATGTCACCCTACAGGCGGATGTTGGACAGAAAAATAAAACAGACCCCAAACATACTTAAAACCATTGAGCATTTTTCAAAGAAGGAACCTCCCCTGACTATTATCTGCAAAGAAAAAGCATTCCCTTGTTATTATTATGTGTGTCTATTTTAAAATTTTCCTCCTGTAGAAGGACAGGCCAAATATAACTTTGAAATAATCGCCAGGAGGAACCCGCGCGGATCCCCAACAGTTTATGGTCATGCTGTTTTTTGTTCCTCTGAACAATGAAAGGAGCTCTGCGTGCCCTCATGAAGTTGTCTTTAGCGTCAACCTCAGCGTCGATGAGCGTCTGGGAGTCGATGAGATAGCGCCGATCTGCGCCGATCCAGCGTCGGTTAGCGTCGATCTGGCGTTGGTGGGCGTCGACTTAGCGTCGATTCGCATCGGTTTGCGTCTGGGAGTCGATGCGGTAGCGCCCATTCTGCGCCGACTCAGCGTCGATGTGGCGTCGTTACTGTTTATGCTTCTGGCGCTTGCTCCTCTTCGAGATTTGCTGCCAAACTCAGAGTCAGATTCATATTCACGTTTGCCTGAAGGAGCCCCTCCATCCAGGGTGGGGAAGGTCGTCCTCTCCAGGCTGCCGCGGGGCCTTCCCCCCATCAGTGGCGGTTGTTTCCCCCCGGTGTGAGTTCCTGACACGCGCCCAGGCTTGCCTTGGCCTCCGCATGCTCCTGAACCTGAACTTGCCGCCAAACCCGGGCCCCCCTCCGACTGAGGTGGGCCGTCGACGCCGTGGCCTCCGCTCGCCCGCCGCCGGCTCTGCTTTGGCTTTTGGGGCCACAGCTCGGGCCTCGGGCGGCCGTTCGGGACGCTCCGGGCCTCCCCGGAGCGCTCCCGGCGAGGCGCAGACGCTGGAACGCCTCCCGATGGGGCGCACGGGGACACACTGGTACTACATGTCCTCCTCGGAGGCGCGAGTCCGACCCGAACATGTAGTATGCCCATCTTTCAGTATATATGGTTTCCCGAGCGGTGTGACCAGAAAGCGCCCGCCACGACGCATACACTATGAGATTTCTCGGTGCGCGCGTCGCCCCTGAGGGGGCGAGGCAGATAGAGTATCAGTATGTTGGGGTGACGCCGACCCGAGGGCGGCACCGCCAAGAAACGACGAAAACGCCAGAAAACCTCGAAGTTCGAGCTTCCCCCCCTCGCTCGCCACCGAACTTCCGGCGGACCCAGCCGGGAATCGGCGAGCAGGGCCTCTGGGAGGCCCAGAGGAGGGCGAAGACCGCCAGGAAGGGCCGCCGATGCCCTCACAGGCTCGCTGGCAGCTCATGGGGGCCTCTCGTGCCATCCTGTCGGGTCCGAGGGCTGGCGCTCCTTCCCGAGACGCAGTGGACACCGCCACAAGCCGTGCCCGCCACGGGCCCTCCTCCCCATGAGGTAGGCCGACGACGCGGTGGCCTCCCAGATCGGCAGCCCGTCCGCCGCCAGCAGCTGCGGCATCACGGCCGACCCCGCGGAGAGGCTGAGCACGGCGGGCGCGCTCTGCCGTCCCGCGTCGTGGAGCAGGGGCCGGCCGCCCCGGCATCCCTTCAGGCCTACCACGGCATGTTCCGAAGGGGCCCAGGGGCACACAACAAACACTTGAACAAAAAACCAAGGTGTCCAAACAATGTTATGCTATTGTCTAGGTTTCCGACTTCCCCCCCCCCCGTCCCACACTTCCGATAGTTTCCAATGTTTTCTTGGGAGTCGACGATGACTTGTGACTATGTGTGTTCTTCCCTTCCTGATTTTCTTGGCACGCAGAAAGGTGTAAAGATCTTAGAGTTCGGTCGGGCATGTCCACCTTCAGGCTGTTTTGTCGAGGAAAAGTAGACACGTTCCAACAATGCAAACAACAAACCTAAGAAAATACTAGAAACATAATCCCCAGACTATTGTTCCTACAATGTCGTAATATCGCCCCTGTAGAGGGACATGGCCGACTTCATCTTAGAGCATGAAGCCGCTGGCTCTCAACAAGGCGGTCTCAGCCAGAAACGGCTTCGAAAATTCTGAGCATGCCGTGCTGAACCACGGAAGGTTCCCTTAGAACACTCGTTGGTGGGCTACTGGGCAGGCCAGGACGCCTCGTCCCTGCTTGAGCGTGCGCGCGGAACACCTCCGCGGCAGCATCGCACCGCGCGGCCACGCGTAGGGGAGCCAAGGATGACCTAAACGTAAAAACTCGCAGGCCCGCGCGGACTTCTTGGATCTGCGCTGGACCCCCCTCCCAGGCGCGCGGCGCGCGCCAGGGGCGGCGCCCGAGGCGCCGCCAGGGGCCCCCTCGGGCCGATCCGAGAACTCCGCGCGGTCCACCGAGTTACGTCTTATGCTTGTGTCATAGTTCGCTCCCCGAACGAAGGCGGGCGGGCTGCCGGGCGACGAGGGCCGGCCACCGCCCAGGACGAGGATGGCGTCGAAGGCCTCCCGGCCCTCCCGCACCGCCGCGCACACCGCGCGGGCGCTGCTCCACCGCTCGGGGCTCATGGCTCCACACGGATGGGCGGGCAGCGGCCGGGGCCAGAGTCCCGCTGCAGGGGGATTGTCGAGGAAAACTGCGAAATACGCAAGGATATTCCCAAATGGTCAAACAGTATTCAAAAATAGCCCCCAGACTATATCTTGACTAGTTTTGAAGTTTCCCCCTGTAGAGGGACAGGCCCGACTTTAAGGCTGGGGCCAGAGTGGCTTCGGAACGCTGCGTTTCCGACCAAAGACTTGCGCACCTAGAAAAGTATCGAACCAGCGTCGAACGAGCATCGCCTCCCAGGGCCCGACACGCGAGCACCCACAAGCTTCGGTACTTCCTTGGCGCTCGAAGTTATTTCTGGAAAACAAAGCTAAAGTACATTGGAACATCAACACCGAAAATCCCTTGGTCCCATCGCTCCTGGGCCGGCTTCGACAGCTTTCGGCGGTCTTCAGACGGTCTTCGGCGGTCCTCGGCGGTCTTCTGACGTTCTTCGGCGCTCTCTGGCGGCTTCCAGCGGCGCCGCCGACCGACACGACGCAAACTAACCGAAGGAAGGATCTGAGATCGAGGAGAAGGCCACGCGTTGCAGCTTGGGCGGCACGATGCCCCACTCGATGGCCATCTGTTCTTGAGGGCATGCGCTGCCTACGCCACCGCCCACGCAGAAAAACAGAGCCCCGCACATCGGGCAATTCCCATGTTCGTGTCCGCTGCAAATTGGAGTTTAGGGTTAGGTCGGGCGTGTCCTCCTACAGGCGGATTTTGGACGAACAATAAAACAAGGCCAAACATTCTTCGAAACTATTAAAGAATAGTCTGCAAATCGTCCCCCGACTATTTTTACTATTTTGAACATCCCCCTGTAGAAGGACAGGCCCGACTTAAATTTAGGGTTCCCTTCCCCCGGAGACACGAGGCGCACTGGACACGGACAGACAGCTGCCCCCCCGGAGGCTCGAGATGCTCGTTCACACCCGGGGCGTCTCGGCTCGCGGCGCCCCCTCCAAGAGAGCCCCCCATCCCGTTCCACCCGTTCTTCCTCCTCCTCCTCCTCCTCCTCCTCCTCCTCCTCGTCCTCCTCATCCTGCCCTCCTCCCCCCATCCGGCCTCGCTCCTCCTGGGTGGGCCTTCTCCTCCCTCCTCCTCCTCCCTTCCACCCTCCTCCTGGGTCGAGCCGAGGAGCGAGGGAGGCCGCGTGGCAGGCCGAGTCCAGGATGGGAGGCTTGGGCGCCGTGGGATGTTTCCTCCTCCTACCTCCTGGGCTGTTTTCTCCTCCTCCTCCTCCTTTCCTCCTCCTCCTCCTCCTCCTCCTCCTCCTCCTTCCTCCTCCTCCTCCTCCTCCTCCTCCTGCCTCCTCCTCCTGGGCGCCTAACTAACTTATCCCTGTCGAACTCCGAAGCATTTCTTTAGGGCGGGCCTGGCGTTCGCCAGAGACTTCTTCACCATCTGTGACGAGGGCGAAGCGTATTCAAGATGTGGTTCTCGCTGCAGCACCGCGCACATTCGCTTTACCACAACTGCCAGAGTGTCACGGATCGAGGGCGAATCGGTTTCAACATGTGGCTCTCGCCTTAGCGCCGCGCGATTTCGCAGTAAAAACATGCAAGAGGGCCACGAACTGGGGGCGGCTTCTTTTAAACATGTGGCTCTCGCCTCAGCGCCGCGCTCATTCGTTTATACAAGAGTTGCAATCGTTTCACGGATTCCTATGACCATCGTGCCAGAATAAATGATTCGGATGGGCTCAGGAGAGCGCGAGTGCAACAGTTACGTTGATTCTCGGTGTTGAAGTCCCATTCATGACGTCTGGTACGATTCAGGATCGCCAAGACGCAACAGTAAGGATTATCCGTGGCGTTGGAATCCCGAGAACAACGTTTTGGCATGCTTCATTGTCTTCAAGCCGTTTGTTTTCCAACGAGGCAGTTTCCTCAATGGAAATGAACCGTTGTAGGGGCCTGTGTAGAGGAACCTTGGAGGGGGGGTGTATTCCAACATCGTTGAAGACTCTTGGGTTTACACTGATCCTCCTCCTCCTCCTCCTCCTCCTCCTCCTCCTCCTCCTCCTCCTCCTCCTCCTCCTCATCCTCCCCCTCCTCCTCCTCCTCCTATTCCCTCTTCTCCTCCTCCTCCTCCTCTTCCTCCTCTTTCTCGTCCTCCTCCTCCTCCTCCTCCTCGAATGCCTACCAGGAAACGTTCCGCAATGCAAAACGCGCCTACCTACGGAGGAGCCGCCCCAAGGCAAATGTAAACCTCGGGGGCACAGAAACTTCCCGCCGGCGGCCCCAGCGGCCTCGGCGGCTCGCTCGGCGGCCTCCAGCGGTGCGCGAAGTGCACCGCTGCCCGTTCGCGTTGCAACGAGGGCTGGCACGGGTGCGCCAGGAGGTGGGTCTGCCTGCGCCCGCAGGCCCCGCTCATCGCGCAGAACACGATGGCCCCACCATTCCCAGAGACAACATTCCCAGCCAGCTCCCGCCCGACGTCCCGCCCACGAACCACCCAAAGCCTATGGGAATGGTGGGACTGGGCCGCTACTGGGGGGATCCCAGGGCGGGGGGTGGCCACGACGCGGGCCCTCGTGGCCTTCCTCGCCCCGCGGATGCTACATCCCGAAGCACGGCCGAGACGCACGAGGCTGTGCCCCGCTGGCGAGGACTCCAGCACCAGATCGTTTCCGGAGGGGCCGAGGGGCCGACACAGCGGGGCGCGGTCGGGCCAGCCCTCCCCCGCCACCCTTTTGAGGACCGCCCCGTGGCGCCCGAGGAGGGCGCACGCCGCCTTTTTTGCAGCCTCCACGCGTGCTCGAGGCCTTGCTGCGGGTGCAGTCGGGCCCCAGACTTGGCCGTGGCATCGGCCTCCTTCTTGCCGCGATGCCAGGCCAGCGGGACCCGCTCGCGCCGCGCCCCTGGCCCAGCTGGTGTGGGCTCGGGTCCAGCGCAAGGCGAAGTTGCCCTCACCGATGTCGCCGAGCCGCGCCGAGCACGGCGTATTTCGATTGCCGAGCAGCACCAGGCTCGACCTCTGGCTTAGTCCTGTGCCACGCTGAGGCAGTCCGTCACCACCTGCAGTGCGCCGACAGAGGCCTCCTGCAGCACGCGGAGCACCGCGTACAGCGTGGCGCACCCGATCTCCAGGATCGAGCCTGGGACGCAGCCGTACATGCCGCCCAGGAGACGGCCATCTTCGCTGACAACGATCGCCGCCCAGCCGCACCTCGACAGCTCCGCTTCGCGGGGGCAACTGTCGGTGCCGCTTCGCCCCGTCGACGCAGACGGTGCCGCTGAAGCCCCCGCGATGCGCCGAGCCCGCTCGCAGGCAGACCTCCACGGCGCTCGGCGCCGGCGCGGAGTCGAGGTGAGGTTGACCAGCCCGCGCAAGAAGCCGAGGTCGTCGGCAGGCGCGGCCGCTCCCAACTTCCGCACGCTCTCGAAGTCGAAGTTCCTCGCCACGTGAGCCGTGGCCGCGCACTTGACGGGGCTTTGGTGGGTCGTCCCGAACCCGCCTTGGCACCAGGGGCAGTCGGGCTCGCACACCTTCCGCTCCACGTACAAGTCCATCTGCGTGAGGAGCCCGCCCGCGATGAGCGACTCCAGGAGGAAGACCTCCGTGTGCTGGCCTCGCCCAAGCATGGTCCTGAGGGCGGAGCGGATGGGCCCGAAGTCGGGGGCATTGCCCGCCAGCGCCTCGAAGCCCGGGTGGAGCGACACGGCCCGCATCAGCGCACGGCGAACACCGCGCTCCACGAGGTGGCTGACCATGCGCGGGCTGTGCCTTCTCAGCTCTATCGCATGGCCCGGGTCGGTCCGCCACCTGTGCCAGGCCTCGGCTTTCAAGCCGGTCCTCTGCAGCGTCAGCCTCACCGCTCCTGAGGGCCCCGTGGCGTGACCCCACGACGGGGGGTCACCCGCCTCGAAAACCTGCGCGAAAGCGGCGGCAGGCCGGACGCCCAGGTAAACCGCTCGCGCCCAGGCCGCCAGGGGCAGCCCGTCCTCCTCCTCCTCCTCCTCCTCCTCCTCCTCCTCCTCCTCCTCCTCCTCCTCCTCCTCCTCCTCCTCGTAGTGAGGGGTGAAAAAAAACGCCCCTGCCTCGGGTTACAGGCGCGTGGTCTGTCAACCTCCCTCGAGCTCCCAAGAGCCAGCGAGCCGCCAGCACGCTGCCTCCTTGCAGCCGAGGCCCGCTGGCGCCCAGGTAAACCCGGGACACGACGCGGGCAGTCAAGGGAGGCCGCGCAGCTCGAGCAGGCAACACTCCGATGCCTCGAGCGCGAGGCCCTCTCTGGAGCGCCCCCCTCGGTGGCTCCTCGGGGACAAGGGAGCCCCCTGTCTCCTGAGGCAGGAGCTTGTGCACATCCACCGCCTCGAGGGGCCGCTCCTCCTCCTCCTGCTCCTCCTCCTCCTCCTCCTTATCCTCCTCCTCCTCCTCCTCCTCCTCCTCCTCCTCCTCCTTCTCCTCTTCCTTCCTCCTCCTCCTCCTCCTCCTCCTGGGGGGGGGAAGTGAAGGGGGGCGGGCCTTCGAAGAAGGCTCGGAAGCCCCCCCCCAACTTAGAAGTTGTCTGAGCCTTCCTGGGAGGCACAGAACACCTCTCAGAAAGCTGGGGGCCTTCTGGGAATCCCCGCCACCTTCTGAGAAGGCCTGCTCCTGCTCACTTCGCCCTCATCGCTGCGTAGTCCGGGAGGAGAGGAGATGAGGAGCCCGCGACCACAGAATCTGACTACGGCGTGACTGGCACGGTAACAGGAGGAAGAAGATTGCTGGGCAGACGAGGATCGCTACACGAGCCGACCTGCCATAGGCAGGCTCATGCGATTAAGTCATTCGACACCTGTAGCCCGATGAACCAAGACCCAAGGGGGTAGCGGGTATGGATACACTTGTGCCCCAGGAGGCGCGAATACAGCATTGCCTCCGCACTTGCGGGTGGGTCGCGGGCGTGTCGCGTGCGAATCGCGACCGAGGGCGACGACGACAACCACAACCGACAACATACAACAAGCAGAATCCGCGCCGCGGAATCCCAATGTCTGTTCCCCGACTGCGGGCGCCGGCTGGGGCGCTCCTCGGCCTTCCTGCGCTCCTCCAACGCCTTCATCTGGCGCGCCAGGGCGGCGAGCCTCAGCCCGGCGCGGCGCCCGGAGATCGACGTGCCCCTCAACGTCGTGCGGGGTTCAAGGGCGCCTAACTTCGCGATCTCGCGCTGCGCGAAGCGCGGAGCGCGAACAACGTCGCGATCTCGCGCCGCACCCCCAAAGGAGAAGAGGAGGATACTCGAGGAGGAATCGGAACCGAACCGTGAGGCGCGACGCGCGAATGACTTCGCGCCCTCGAGGGCGCCCTTGCGAGGTTCCGCGGGAGGCCTCGACTGCTCCTCAAGGCCAAGCGCGTCGCAACTTGTTCGGCACTGGCGTTCTCGGCCAATTCTTCGGCCTGGGACTTTCGCAGATCGATCCAGCTTGAAACATGGCGCAGGAAGATAGTGTCGAGGGCTGGTGGCTGTCTGGGGTCTAAGACGAAGCCAGGACGAGGAACAAATCGGGTGAGGATACATCGAAATTCTCTGAGACCTGGTGGCTCTGCATGATGTATCGGGCGCCGCGGCCTTCTCAGAGCACTCTGGAAAACCTCGCCCTAGACCAGCCCGAGCTCCAGACACAAGTGTTCACGATGCTGACATGATTGGGGAAACCAAGATGCACCCATCCGGCCACTCCCTGGGCCTCTCCCGGGGCGCGTGCTGACCAGGACTTCGAGGCCCCTCCAGCGGTGACGACGAAGACGAGGAGGACGACGAGGACGACGACGACGACGCCGACGCCGACGACCACACCAAGCCAGGGTAATTAAAGGGGCCCTGGGACACAAATGAATACACACAATTTCAGGATTCCCTATATTTTCCTATATTTTCTGGGTTTTTGTCTTCCCCCCCACTTCCCATATTTTCCCATATTTTCTGGGGGATCGAGGATTCATTGTGTCTGTGTGTGTTTTTGCCCCTCCTGGATGCTATGTAGTTAGACTCTCCTGGCCTCGGGAGGGCGTGCACGCCGTGCGTCAGGGTCCAGGGTGGCCCTGGCCGGGCACGCCAGTGATGAGTTCATGTGCCTGCTGCTGCTGCTCGCACTCCTCGACCTCGATCCTCGATCCTCGACCCTCGACCCTCGAACCTCGATCCTCCATCCTCGATCCTCGATCCTCCGTTCCCGATCATCGATCCTGCTCCTCCTCCTCTTTCTCATCCTCCTCCTCCTACTATTTCTCCTCCCGCTGCTCCTCGCGGTTCAGCTGACGATGCGGCTGATCTCCCTACCAATCCAGCAGGAGATGCTGCTCCTGTTGCCGCTCCTGCCGATATTGCTTTTACTCCTGCACCCGTCCTAGCTCCAATCACTGCTCCCAACCCTGCTGCTGCGTATGGTGCTGCTTCTACTCATGACGTTTGGGCTGGGTATCCTCCAATCCTTCCCCATCCTTCTCTTCCTCGTACATTCACTCCTGTTCGTTCTCCCCCTCCTCCTTTCTTCGTCGCTCTGCAAGCTGTGGGGGCGATGGGTCCGAAGCGTTTACCTCGCCCCCATCCTCATCCTCCTCTTCCACATATTGGTCGTGAAAGTCTTTAGTGAAAGCGCTGCTTGCAAAGGTCGACCCTCTCCTCTCCTTCCCCGAGCGTTGTGATCTCTTCGCTCCAGGACACAGAGAACGGGCCGCAGAAGGGCGTAACGGACAGTGGAGGCGAGGGCCGCTTTACCATGGCCCACGATAATCGCCAGCTCGGCTTGAGCTGGGCCTGGGCCAGGGCCTGGTCGTGACAGTGGTCGAGGAAGGAACATCGGCATCAACATGAAATTCTCGACGCTCCGCGAGGACTTCTGGGACCTGCGCCAGATGCCGCTCTGAGGCGCGCGGAGCGCGCCAGGGGGCGGCGCTGGAGGACCGCCAGAGGGGCCCAGCGCCGATCCAAGAAGTGCGCGTGGAGCGTCGAAAAGTTGGATTATGCCTGTCTCTCTTCTTGGGCTGCCCACTGCCCTTGGGTCAGGTCGGGCATTTCCTCCTACGGGCGTGTTTGGGATGAAATTCTGAAACACATAGTGAAGAAACATTCAAAGTTTCTTAGAATAGAAAAAAAATGACTCCCAGACTTCGAAAAAACTATATTTGAATATTCCCCCTGTAGCAGGACAGACATGACTTAACCCCAGGGCCGTGCGCTGGGCCACCAGCGCAGGTGCGCTGGGCCACCAGCGCAGGCCCGGGGCGCGGGACAGACCTCCCTGACGCCAGGGCGCTCCCGCGGGGCCCTCGAGGCATCCGAGAGGTTGGCCTCGCTCCTCCGGCGGAGGCAGGCCGAGGGGCAAGACCTGCGCGGCTCAACCAGCAGGAGGGTGACACCGGTCACCCCGATCGGGCGGGTGGTGATGCGGGGTGACCTGCATGGGCAACGTCGAAAACCCTGAGCCCGAAAACGTTTTCGTCTCTTGGGGGCGCATGGTGTCAGTGTCCTTCTGCTCCCACCTCCTCCGACCCCACCTTGTCGTCTTCATTGTCACCCTCCTCGCCTCCTCCTTCTTTTCCTCCTCCTCCTCCTGATCATCACATCGCTCGCCTCCTGCTCCTTCTCCTCACCCTGCTCCTCCTCCTCCTCCTCCTCCTCCTCCTTCTCCTGCCGCTCCTCGACCCCCCTCGCGCAAGCCTCCTCCTCCTCCTCCCTGCCCTCCTCGCCATCCTCCTCCTCCTCCTTCTCCTCCTCCTCCTCCCCCTCCTCCTCCCATTCTGTCCTTCCACTATCTCTCCTCTCGCCCCCCTCCGCCTCGCCCAAACAACGCGCGGATGCGCATCGCCCGCCTGTCGTAGTCGCCCGCGTCCGCGGCCCGGGCCAACTCCGCCCTCAGCGCCACAAGCTGCCTCGCGAGGGAGGAAGAGGTAGAGGTAAAGGCAGAGGGAGAAGGAGAAGGAGGAGGAGTGAAAGGAGGAGGAGGAGGAGGAGAAGGCGGCGTGAAGGAGGAGGAGAAGGAGGAGGAGGAGGAGGAGGAGAATAATGGAGGGGAGGAGGAGGAGGAGGGAAAGAAGGAGGGAGGGAGGCAGAAGGGAGACGGCAGGGAGGGAGGCAGGGAGGAGGAAGGGGGAGGAGGGGAGAGACGGAGGAGGAGGTAGGAGGAGAAGTGCGAGGGCACCAATCCTAGAGAGGTAACATCCACCTCTCAACTTTGTCATCCTTCTACCCCTACTCCTCCTTCTCCCCCTCCAATGGCACCTCACCAAGACAACTTCACCTCCTCCTCCTCCTCCTCCTCCTCTCCTCCTCCTCTCCTCCATCATCATCATCATCACATCCATCATCATCATCATCCCCATACCTCCTCCTCCTCCTTGTCCTCCTCCTCCTCCTCCTCCTCCTCCTCCTCCTCCTCCTCCTCCTCCTCCTCATCGCCTCCCTCCTCCAAGGACCTCTGAAGGCCTCGGGAGACCTAAATCTGGGCATAAGGACCGCAGGACCGGGAGCGGAGCCCCATCACGGGCCTCAGCTGCGGGAGGATGCGCCGAGAGAGCCAAGGGAAACCGAGCGGGTCCCACGGGAACATTGATCGGAAAAGGGCAGTCGGGTCCCACGCGAACATCGATCGGAGAAGTGGCGCGCGCGAGGGGCGCCGCTCCGAGAAATGGAGGCCTCCCCAATGGTGTCCGAGGAGATGGGGTCCGAGGATCTCGCCACATCGCCGATACATCGGCGACGTCTGCGATACCACGGCGATGCGTCGGCGTGGAGACAGAATCGGGCTCCACGCCGAGCCGCATCGCCGAGGCATCGGCGAGCCGGCAGGATGCTTCGACCCCACCAGCTCGAAGCCCCTCCGGGAGGCCTGGAAGAAACACGCACGGACCTCCGCAAGAGTTCCTGCTCGTGCCGTCCTGACGTCCTCGGACCTGCTTCTGCCCCAGCGGGGCGGCATGGAGCCTCGGGCTTTGGAGACCTTTTTCTCTAGGCCCAGGCAAGGGTACTTGCGTGGCATTCCACCACGAGGCCGCCTTTTTCAACAGAGCTGGGCCGAACAAGTGTGCACGGCAGTCAATCCCGACTTGCGTGAAGTCCAGTCCCCTCTCGTGCCTCACCAGGCTCCACCGTCCCCTCACCCATGCAGGTGACCTTGCCGAAAATTGCAACATCGGAGCCCCAGACCCCGAGCTTTTTGCGTCCTTGCTCAAGGCGGACCTAGACTCCCCAAGTCGTGGCTTTTTCGCGTCGACGCCCCGAGGTCCCGACCCCTTCCCTGGGGACCGGCTCTTCATCCCGAGTCGCTTCCTGACGCCCCCCGAGGCCCGGCGAGGGCCCAGCGAAAAGCCTGCCGGCCCGTGGCTTCGTCGCGACGCGAAGTGGGGGCCCGGAGAGGTCGCTCCGTGCCGTCCCCGAGGCCCGAGGACGGGCGGCGTCGCCCGAGCTGCGCAGAAGATGCGCCGCGCCCGGAGCGGGAGGGCCGGCGCGAGGAGGTCTCCGGAGGAGCGCGTCGCGGCGCTGCGGCGTGCTGCCCGGCGGGGAGGGGAGGGCGACGGCGCACGAGGAGGAGAGAGGGGGGCGCGCAGAGGGAGGGAAGGGCAGGGCGCGGGTGCGCGGCGCACGAGAGGGAGCGGAGTGGGCGCAGAGGGCGGAATGAGGAGGGCGCGGGCGCACGAGGAGGAACTAAGTGGGCGCACCGGAAGGAGAGAGGAGGGCGCGGGCGCACAAAGCGGAAAAAAAGGGTGCGCGCGCGCACGAGGATGAAAGAAAGGGGCACACGAGAAGGAGAGAGGAGGGATCTGGACGCCCTAGAGGGGTCCAGAAAACATGGGTATGACGCCAGACAACACATGTTGTCCAAACCGGCAACGGTCGGTGTTGGGCAGGCGGCCTTGTCTCGAACGGGCAACGCCCGAGGCGACACCGACAGCGAATCCTGCTCAAAACGGACAAGAACTTCTGTTGGTCCTCGTGCCCATTCTTTCCGTACTTTGTGAATCGTACCGAGGGGAGGAGAGCGAGG